CAATATTGTGTTTGTATACTTAAATAAAGCACCCATTTTAAACTCGTAGTATATATATTCATTATTATTTTTCATTCGAATATGCTTCAAGCTAAAAACTCTAACGATCAACTTACTCAACTTTTCAAAAAAACTCAAAAACTAAACCCATTTTAATTATAAATAAAATTGCTAATTTTTCAATAAATGTTTGGTTGCTAAGATGCGTGATTCATCATTAACCCATCCTATTTAATAAAATTTTACTTGGTTATTAAATTCCATTTATGAGTATGGTCAAATAAAGGAAATTAAATGTGAAGAAAAAGGTATCCAAACAACCATGTCAAGAAATCCAAAATATATATTCTTAAAAGAAGTGTATCTTTTAACTTTTGAAAAATAACTTTTCGAATTTGTTGTTGAAAAATATCTCGACTTTTTAGCAATTAAAACATGTTAATCTAATAATTGAAAATTTACTACAAAACAAGTCCCTTGGACTAGTTGAGAGACCTTTCGACGATCAAATTAGTAATCAAAAGGTGGCAAATTGGCGTGAATAGAGTCTTTGGTGAAAACAATATATATGTGTGCAAAGAGAAATTGCTTAATAAGGATTTTCAAGTGTAAAAGTTGTTAGAAGCTAAAAATTTGAAACCCTTGAAGGTTAAAGTTCTTATATAGACAAGATTTGTGCGAGGTTGTATGGTGAAAATGATAGAATTGTCTTTCTCTTATTATGTTAGTTGAAAGGGTGATAGTTGATAGTGGCCTATGCGTGATGCAATCTAATCTTTATTAGTTTTGTTGTTATCATGATGGGTGATGATTTGATTTAAATTATGGTGAACTAGCATTTTCATTAATGCTATGTTTCCTTTGGCCATTATGGAAGAAAATGAAATCTTCTTTGTTCGAGTCGGGACGTCTTGAGATGTAAGAGTCCCGCAGCTTTTTCATGAGGAATCATCGGTCCTTAAGGAGGTAGCTAGTTCTTATGGACTTTGACTTGAGTTAGGCTTGGTAAATTTGGCAACACATATATTTTTATGCTTTTTTGTAGAAAAAAATGTGACACATGTCCCTCGAACCCATTACCGTGAATATAAAACTTTAAATTTATCCATAGATGTACTTCTTTTATTAAGGAAATATATAAGACTGATCTTAGTGTATTTTCTATATATGCACGTAAAAGTATAAACACATATAAAGAGAAAAAAAAGCCATAAAAGAAAGAAGCTTGTCTTGATTACAAGATTGGAATTTTATGGATGTTAATTATGTCGATTTTTTTTTTGGTTGCTAAACGTAATGTCTATATCAACTATCAATGCATTTTAACTTTAAAGGATCTTTTCTTAAAAATAAAATAAAATAAGGATCTTGTTTTATCACGTGATCACCAAGATTGTGGATGTATACAAAAACAAAACATCGATTTTAGACTTTAGCATATATATTCATTATTATTTGTTGTCCAAATTTGCTTCAAACTAAAAATCCAATAGTCAACTTCCACAACTTTTCAACAAACTACAAAACAAAACCCATTTTAATTACAAATGAAATTGCTAATTTTTCAATAATGCTTGGTTGCTAAGATGTTTGATTCATAATTAACCCATCTTTGTTAATAAAATTTGACTAGTTAATAAATTTTATTTACGAGTGTGATCAAATAAAGGAAATTAAATGAGCAAAAAAAGGTATTCAAGCAATCTTGCCATGAAATTCAAAATATATATTCTTAAATAAAAAACTATACCTTTTAACTTATGGAAAATAACTTGTCAAAAAATATCTCTTTTTTAAAATAATTATAAACCATTAACCCAATAATTGAAAATTTTCTTCAAAGCTAGTCTCTCGAACTAGTTAAGAGACCCTCTAACGGTCAAGTTAGTCAAAAAGTGATGAATTGGCCTAAATAGTCTTTTTGGTAAAAACAATATATGTGCAAGTAAAGAGAAAATGATCAATATGGATTTTTAGATGTAAGAGTTGTTAGAATTTGGGAACCCGAAGCCCTTGATGGCTAAGGTTCTTATATAGACAAGGCTTTTGTAGTTTGCGTGATGGGAATAGTAGATTTATCTTTCTCCCTTAACGTGAGTGGCTAGTGGCAACAACCGATGGCGGCCTATGCATGATGTAGTTTGATCTTCGAGCTTTTCTTGTATTATGATGAATGATGATTTGATTGAGATTATTATGCAATAACACCTTTATTAAATGCTCTGTCTCATGGAAGAAAGTGAAATCTTCTTTATCCAGGCTAGAATATCTTAAGATATGAGGTCCCAAAGCCTTTTTAAGGAATGACTCGCCTTTAAAGAAAGTTGGCTCTTGGGTACTTTGAACCCGAGTTAGGTTTAGTGAATTTAGCGATACATATATCTTTAGTCTCTTTTCCAAAGGAAAAAAAAAGTGACATGTGTCACCCTAGCCTATTACCATGAATATAAAATTTTAAATTTATCCATGGATTTGCTTTTTTTTTTTTTTTTTAATGAGGAAATGTATAAATTATAAGACTGATCTTAATGTATTTTCTATATATGCACATATAAGGATGAACATAGAGAAAGAAAAAAAAAATCTTTCTTTGATTGTAAAATTGGAATCTTATGGAAGTTAATTATGTTGGTTTTTTTTTTTGTTTTTTTGCTAAAGATAATGCATGTATCAACGATCAATGCATTTTAATTTTTAAGGATCTTTTCTTATGGAAAAAAAAAAAATTCTTTTAAGGATCTTCTTTTATCACGCGATCATAATATTATGCATGTATCAAAAAATAAAACATCAATTTTAGACTTCGGTATGTATATTCATTATTTTTTGTCATTCGAATTTGCTTTTAGTTGAAAACTCCAACAGATCAACTTTCACAACTTTTCGAAAAACTCCAAACAAAATCTATTTTAATTACAAATAAAATTGTTTTATTCAATCAATGCTTAGTTGTTAAGATGCATGATTTATCATTAATACATTTTATTTAATAAAATTCAACTAGTTATTAAATTTCATTTACTAGTGTGATCAAATGAAGGAAATTAAATGAGAAGACATAAATATTTGAGCAACCATGGATGTTCTTAAAAAAAAAAGTGTAATTTTTAACTTTTGAAAAATAATTTTGCGAATTCATTGTTGGAAAAATTTCTCATCTTTTTAGTAATTAAAACTCATTAACCCAATAATTGAAAACTTCCAGGATAATAATTTCAAGAAGCTATTTTTATCAATAGAACTTGTATAAAAAAACACATAAAAGATTTTTGTAGTTTTTTTTTTTTTTTTTTTTTTTTTTTTTTTTTGTCAAATTGCACCTTTACCATCATCATCTACAAAAGAGCATTATTAAGCTAAAAAATTAAAATCCATTTTAGACTCATCCTTTTAATGAATAAAAAAAATGAAAATCCTCGTGACAACTTTAACAAATTTGGACCTTAACCTAAAAAGGAAACCATCTGTGTACCTAGATCTATAACACGTGCCCTAAACCACTCTTTTTTTAATTTACCCTTAAATAATAATGAAAGTCATTAATTAGATGCACACCAGAATCTCTATCATCAAATCTAATCCTCCTATAATTACCTCCATTTTGGCAACAAACATACCCAATTCAATCAGATCATTAATTAATTGCCTCTTTCTTTTTATTTATTTACAGTATAAAAAGAACCAACATGTTTGGTTTATCTTAATTACAATCCAATCCATATACTGCACTAACCTTATGAACAAAGACAATAATAATAAAAAAGACCTAAAATTAAATCCATAATCAGCATCGTAGTCCTGTACAAACAAATCCTAATACATTGAAGAAACCAATTTAAATCAATTTTTAATTAACGCATAATTTTTCTTAATTTTTAATTAAGAGTCTGTTGATGGTGCATCTTTAAAATTGTCTAAAAAAATTTAATTTCAATATACACACACTGTTCAGAAGATAATGTTATAATAAAACCAAAACAATTAAATTAAATTAATAACTTGTCAATTGTAGCTGTATTTTAGCCTTTGTTAAAAAGTGCTTCACTTCATCCCTTACATTTAAGACTTTTGTTAATATCAATCCTGCTTCTTTCTAAAAGTTTTAGATTGGTTTTTTGTTATTAAGTAGGTAACAGAAAGGCGAATGCCTTTTTTTTTTCCAATACTTTCTTGGTTCTCTCAAAAGCATTTCTCTTCAAAATTTGGATGGTATTTAAAACAAATATTCAACAAAAAGTGATCGTTAATTATCTCAAATAAAGGGTTAAATTGAACTGTTTAAACTATAAGACCGTAAATGAAATATATTATAATCTACAGGGACTAGAGTATGATTCACCGTAAAAAAATAGATTGCTTATATAATTTGTTTTCCTTAAATTCCCTCAATTCTTTTCTTTCTCTCTAGAAAATCTCCCTTTATCTTATTTATTATAAAATTTTATTTATTTATTAATTTTTGCCTTTTCTTGTTCTTCTCTTTTCTTTCTCTCTCTCTCTCTAGTTTCATCTCTGTTAAACAGAAAAACAAGCACATAAGCCACAAACGACGACCCGATTCTGAACCCGCCCGGCCTGGCCGCCTGCCCCGATTATAAAAATCAAATTTCATTTTCTGCCTCTCATTTCAATCAATCGGCATGGTCTCTGAATATGTAAGTCTCCGAATATCTCTCGCATTGTTTCCAGCTCATTACGTCGCCGTTTTATCAAACCCTAATCTAATCTAATCGTTATTTGTTGATCAATCAATTAATCTTGGATTAGGATTTTATTATTTATGTTAGTTATTTTAATTGACTTGGGGAATTTTTTTATTAATTGATTTTTAGGGTTCTTGAAGTATCAGCGAATCGGTTTGTATTGGAGAAAATAGGGTTAGGGTTTCGAATTTGAAGCATTGTTAGATTTTAAATTGGGGATTTTCTAGGGTTTGTTTGGTGTTTTTTTTCCTTTGTGTGTTGGATTATTTTTTCAAAGACGGGGAAAATAGGAGGATAATGTGTATACTGTGTGTGATTCAAAAGTGGTCTCGCCGGGTTGCTACGATGCTACCTTGGTTAGTTATTCCTTTGATAGGATTATGGGCACTTTCACAGCTATTACCACCAGCATTTCGTTTTGAGATTACGTCGCCAAGACTGGCTTGTGTTTTCGTGCTTTTGGTTACTTTGTTTTGGTATGAGGTGTTGATGCCACAGCTGTCTGCTTGGCGGGTGCGTAGAAATGCACGGTTGAGGGAGAGGAAAAGGTTTGAAGCTATTGAATTGCAGAAGCTTAGGAAGACTGCTACGAGGAAGTGTAGGAATTGTTTAACTCCGTATAAGGATCAGAATCCAGGTGGGGGTAAGTTTATGTGTTCTTATTGTGGGCATATTTCAAAACGGCCAGTTTTGGATTTGCCTGTACCCCCTGGTTTGGGGATTTCGAATTCTGGGATTATAAAGGATTTGGTGGGGAAAGGTGGGAAGTTACTGAATGGCAAAGCATGGAATGATAATGGATGGATGTGTGGTCAGGAGTGGTTAGATAATGGTGGTTGGGCTGGTGGGTCTGTTGCTGGGAAGTCTAGTTATTGGAGGAAGAATGGGAGTGGGATTTTTGGAGGGGATGAAAATTGTTTGGCTGAGAAGTCGTATTCAGGGGTTGTAATTTTTGCTTGCAAGCTGTTGACGTCTTTTTTCTTGAGCATTAGATGGCTCTGGAGGAAGGTTTTTAGGATTAGTTCCTCTGAGGATGGTTCTTCTGATGCAGAGCATAGGGCGATGTTGGCTAAGAGGCGTGAGAATGGGGAAAACTTTCATGAGAGTAGAGGAGAGAAAGCACGCAGGAAAGCTGAAGAGAAGAGAATGGCTAGGTTAGAGAGGGAGCTCTTAGAGGAGGAAGAGAGAAAGCAAAGGGAGGAGGTTGCACGGTTGGTGGAGGAACGTAGGAAGCTGAGGGATGAGATAATGGAGGCTGAAAGAGATCGAAGTAGATCATCACCACTGACCAGGGAGAAAAATACTAGGAAGGAAGCAGAAAAGAAACGTCAGGAAAGAAGGAAAGAGAAAGACAAGGGGTCTAGTAAGAGTAACTCTGATGCAGAAGAGTTGGAAAAGAGAGCAGGTAAGGAAATCGATCGGAAGCGGGATGTTGAGAAGAAGAGTGAAATTGAACGCCGCGAACATCAGAAAATTGGGACAGAGAGTGTGAAAGGTCAGAACATTGAATCAGGACATGGGATTAAGAATACACCTGGAAGCAATTTTAACCGGGGCAATGCTGGATCTAGGTATTTGGATCGAATGAGGGGTACATTTTTCTCTTCTTCTAGAGCTTTCAGTGGAGGTGGTTTCTTTGGAAAAGCTACCAATACTCCTGCTACTGTTACTAAAGAAAATAAGCCCAACAGTTCTGTAGATCCTGTTCATGCTTCTGCCCATAGGAGGGATATATATCCAACCGACCGTCTGGCTGGGAAAGCAAGTCTGAATGGAGATGATAGGAACATCTTTCGCCCTGTAAGTTATCTTGCTGCACGTTTCCTCTTAATTTGTTTTAGCATGTTGACAGGTGGAAAAAAATTAAGGTATGCAGAATTTGTTGTTTTTTATTGTCTGATATTGATTTTATTCTTATGGCATGCTTGTGCTAGTCGTCTATTGATTAGAAATTTTTATGTTCTGGCACTTAATTTTGCAACTTTGAATGAACATAATGGTTAGCTAGCTTGATTGATTGTCATTTCAACTTTGTGCATAAATTTGAGCTAGATTCTAAAATTCTTATTTTAGCTGTGTTGGCAATTTTCTGTTACTGCTTAGTTGCCTGTGCTTCTTAGAAACTTTTTTTGAAAAGCATGCTAGGCTTCTGGTGAAATTGTCTCCTATTATTATTATTATTATTTTAATGTTTATGGGCAGGCTGGATAAGTAAGCAATGCAGAAACTGTTGTTTTTCCGTTCTAAATTGAGGTTCTCCTTGTTATTATAGTCGCTTGTGATAAGTTTGAACTAGATTTTTTTAAATGCCTGTGTTTTGCTTCGTGATGAGATTTGTTTCCTATCACTGGTTATTTCCCCATACTTTTTGAAAACTTTAATTGAAAGGCATGCTAGGGTTTGTATTTAACTGTGATGGTTCATTTTGGATGCATGTGGATTAGCAATGCATTTATAAGAAAAACAGTGTTAAGAGTTGCGATTCACAACAGGTGCTTTCTGAAACACAACCGACAACAGCACCTAAGAAAACGTGGCAGCAATTATTTACACGCTCATCGCCTGCTCATTCATCCTCAAATGCAAATGTCATCTGTAGACCAAGTTCAAAACAAGCAGAAGTTCAGGCACAACAGTTTCCTCCACAATCATCACCAATGCAATCATTTGATAATCCAATTAATTTTGGTCTGCCATCGCCATTTCCTGTCTCTGCATTTCCAAATGTATCCAGTAGCACTAGTTTAGGTTTCTCACCTCCTATTGAAACAATTTTCCCCCGTGCTGTGGAAGGCTCGCATGATTTTATATCTGAAGAACCAGAACTTTTTGAAGACCCATGTTATATTCCTGATCCAATATCATTGCTTGGGCCCGTTTCAGAGTCGCTTGATAATTTTCAGTTAGACCTGGGAACTGGCTTTGCTCCGGACATGGGACTGGGATTGGAAAGGCCTTATGCTATGACAAATGTTTCTGCTTGTCCTGAAGTGAACAAGCCATCTCCAATTGAGTCCCCATTGTCGAGACTACGAACTGCTGATGAAAAGAATCATGGTTCTAATCGGTTCTCAACTACTCCTATATCCCAAGATTTTAACACTTTAGCTATGGATGATTTACATGGGAATGAGAAGGGAACATGGCAAATGTGGAACAGTTCTCCTCTTGGGCAGGATGGTTTAGGTTTAGTAGGTGGCCCAGGAAGCTGGCTTTTACCCCCAGAACGGAACAGATCAACCAAGGAAGATATTATGCAGCCTACATCTCAGAAAACTATGGCATCACTGTTTACAAAAGATGATCAAATCCTTTCTGGTACTCATTCTCCTCAGAAGGTTTTTCTTGGCAATGGCCAGAATGGTGGGGTATTCAGTCCCGTCATTGGTTCAAGTGAAAATGAGCCATGGCTGCAGAATGCGTTTTTCCCACCGTTATCAGGCAGCAATAGCCATTTCTCTTTGAAATCTCAGGAGGAAAGTGCTCAGAATGAAACAACTTATCAGAGTCCCACTGGAGCTGCAACCAACGATGCTTTTGGGGCGTCTCCGGTGCATAGTTGTTCCAAGTGAGTGCATCGTCATTTGAACTCTCTTTTATCAGATCTCTAATCTGGAATTTGAATGTGTATTTGAGGTTGAAATGAGAAACTGTTATTCTGACTTCTGTCATTGTTGAAACATCCGAAGATCATCTAATATCAATTAAAACTTCGATAACCGAGATGAAAAAAAATATTATGTTAGATTGATGCATTGAACTAATTCCATTATGTAGGACAGTAAAAGAATGATGTGACTCTTGATGCTTTGCTAGCTAGTCATTGGATGCCTAAGTTTTTCTTAGTTAATTCATAAATGCATGAGTGGGGTGGTGTTTAGCCTTGACTATCGTCATTATTCTCACTTGTTTATTTAATTTTGACCAATTTCTGAATAACCACCTTGCAGTATCTATCACACTTTGCATGTCCATGTACAATGTCTGTAGTTGCTACCCTTTTCTTTTCTTGATCCAAACTCTTAATTCCTGGCTACAGTTAATTGTACTGGCTTAGGACCAAGAAAAAGTTTCATAATGCAGGTATCAGCTGCAGCCTTCAGTCTCTTGGATTGTAGAGTTTGAGTTTGTATCGCCAAACTGATAACCCCCTGAAATAGGGGTTTTTTTTTTTAATGTGGATATAATAATCTACTTTTCATTATCCTTTATTTTATCCTTCTCCCCTCTCCGGTCCCTTTTATTTCTCTGCAGTCATGCTAGTTTGTCAAGTTGCTTGTTTACAGTGTAGAAATGGATGATGCTAATCGTTGCTTCATTTCTTTTGTGCTGGCAGGAATGAACAGGGTGTGCAAGGTTCTGGAGTATGTGTTGGGAAGTCATCTGTCACAAGACCCAATTTTGGTGGTTTGTTCCCCACCTCAGATGTACAGTGGTCATTTGATTAAAAAGAAATGAAAGAAAGGGAAAAAAAAAAGTGACAGTATGAGGGACCTGTTCAGACCTCTTGTTCTAAAGAGGCAAATAGCCCCTTTTGGAGGAGAGTTTAGAATACTGGACACGATTGTATCTTCCTTCAGTTCTATAAAGGGGGATGGATCTTTACATACTTTAGCATGCATAGGAAGTTAGGATTACACTTAACATGCGTTCACTTGTGCATGAGGTCACAGCTAGATCTACAATTCTAAATTTTTTAGGTTTTGCCTGGGGGAGTTGGGGGGTCCCCTTTTTGAGGAAAATTTGTTCTTTTGAGAATGGCGCTTTCCTCCTCTTAGTTGTATTTCTCTTGATCTTCATCTGAATGAATGCCAATGAGATGGTTCTAACGCATGCTGCTTTTACTTGTGAAAAACTATTTTGGCCTTCACCTGATGTTAGGCTCGCTTTTCCCTTTTCCTGGGAGAACCCCCCAACATCCCAAAACGAAAAGCCTATCTAATCATGGAAACCAAATTGCCCTGTTGCTTCTTTTTCATGGAACTTTGATTCTCCAGTTATCTCATACTTGCCCCAAATTTTTGGATGGGAGGCAAGGAAAAGGTGATAATGATTAAGCAGGGTTCAGTGGCCGGGTGATAATTATGAAACATAGAACAGGAAGTTAAAGTTTGGATGTGCAGCAATGATTGCTGTTCAAATTACTAGCACCGAGCGTTGTGTACCAGGAAAACAGAAACGTTGAGAAATGTTCTTGAACCCTTACGCGTTATAACCCTGTAGTGAATTGAAAAGATCAGCAAGCATTTTAACGAACGTAGTACAAGATCAGCAGCGGTCGTATGGACCAACTAACTGATGTGGTAACGGATTACCAGTCAGGTTCGATATGGGGAACCAATTTAAATAGATTAGAATGCATCCCATATCAATAAATTTGATTTCGAACGGTCTTTTTTTATAAGAAGAATGTATGCAAATCTATTGCGAATAAGAAATCAACTCATATTTTCTTATAATGAGAATGTATACAAATTTATTTCTGTCTGGTCTGATAAGAAATGAGTCTATAATTATAAAATCGACTCAAACTTAGAATCATGAAACCGACTTGATAATTAGATTATAAGTTGAGGACCCAAATAGAAAGCCGAACGACTACACTTGTTTTTAATTGAGTGAATATAGGTAGCTTGGTTTAATGCTCCCAAATCACGAAAGTTCAGCAAAATCAAATCCCTTGTTTGCGTGAGAATTTCTGAAGCAAATGATTGCGTAGCCACCGAGATCGAAACAAATACTCCTATTGGCCATCCTCACTGGCTTTTCGAGGTGATGAATTTAGAATCCAATCCCTCTTATTTGCAAGATCCACCATCGTCACAAGATTTATCAGCAAATAGGAATTTGGACAGCATGAGACCCGGCAAATGGTCGCTACCCGTGGACTTTGACTGCTTCTAAAACTTTTGAATTCTGATTGACATGTTATTTTCACTAATTTGTCTTTGTATATATTCTATTGATATGGCTCTATAGATCTTGACGTCTTATTGATTCTTTTGTAATCCTTTGTGCATCAGCGAATATGCTGTGGGACAAATGTGCATTCATTTTTGTATTCATTAAATTCTTCTTGATTTGCCCTTTTTTTTTTTTTTTTGAATGGTAGCTCTCATCTCTTCCATTTGTTCCTGTTAGTTACAATCATTTTCAGTTTATATTCAAAGAACCATATTCATTATCAGTCAAGAGGGTGCAAAAAGTAGCTCCTTTTGTATGACAGTCACCAGTGGGAGCAGGTGCTGTTGGAGGTGGGAGACTGGTGGTGGAGTTGTTGAGTGGGCAAATCACCTTATCTTGAATTATCTTTTGGATGCTAATCTGCAAGAACTAGTACCTTTTCGGTTTGAAAATAAACTTGGGCCAGGAAGAAGATCTCTTGAGTTTTGATTATGCAAAACGAGCAGACATGAGAAGAATAAGAAAACAACCCAAGACATGATAAACAATCACACTCTATTAACTTGCCAGGCATTAAAACTAACCATAAGGCAGAGATCCTGTAGCTTATTTTTGTTGCCTATGCTTCTATTCACATGATGAAAACCGAAAAACGAAACCTAGCAGAAAATCTAAACATATTGAGGATGGTGGATCAAGCGAGGAGAGCGTGTAAAGAAAATCAATACATACAAACAACTCGAAGCGTTCATTGAAATATAGCACATTAAACATTACGCTCTGCGATGATGATAATCATCCTCGACAAAGAGACCAAGAAAGTTAGAAACTAAATTTAACAAGATCATTTCAGTTATGCTGAATCCTGAGTTGAGACATCCTGCGTTGTGGATTCATGAGAAGACTGTAGCTCCAGTTGCTCTTCTAGTAGTAGTTGTTGCCTTTGCTGTTCTCCTTGCCACGCCCAAACAATGTCCTTGAGTGCAGGTCGAATGTCTTGTTTCAGTACCTTCTGGTACTCCATGGTATCTCCACTGGACTTTTTCATTTCCACCAAATGGAAACAAGGAGTGATCTCAAAGATTTCTGCATCAATGCCCATGACTCCTTTCCGGCCTTCCTTTGAACCTTCTATTTTCAGAAAACCTCCATCCTTTTTCGTTATTTTCAGCCTCATATGCTTCGCTACGTCTTCAAGCTTAGAGATGATGGTGGAGGCAGGCTTGTTTGATGTGAACCGCACATCTTTCTTCTGCTCTTTCTCCTCAAATAAGCCAGACAGGTCAAAGCCTGCAGAATAGGAGATAATATCAAAGGCATTTAAGTTGCAAGGCTTTGCCAATTCTAACTTTGGTTCCATGGCAGTGCAGCTATTCTCATCTACGTTAAATACAGCGTCACAGCCCAGAGGAGATGGTTCTTTCACTTCTGCTTCGCGAGGTGAGGGTCTTGATTGCAAACCCTTTCGAACCCAAGAATTTTCCATTATCTTGGTCATGGATATTCTTGTATTTGGGTTTGGATCCAGTATCTTTGATAGGAGCTTGCGTACTTCAGGTGCAAACCAATTGGGGTATTTAAATTCTCCCTTCCCAATCTTTCTATACATCTCCATCAGATTTGGATCACGGAATGGGAGATAGCCAGCCAGTAGAACATATAAGATCACCCCACATGACCAGATATCTGCTTTAGCTCCATCATAGCCTTTTCTGTTTATCACTTCTGGAGCAACATAAGCAGGGGTTCCACAGGTTGTGTGTAGCAACCCATCTTGCCGTTTAGATTCAGCCAGAGCACTTAATCCAAAATCAGAAACCTTTAGATTCTCATTCTCATCCAACAGCAGGTTTTCTGGTTTCAGGTCACGATGAGAGACTCCTCTACTGTGACAGTAATCAACTGCACTGATCAACTGTTGAAAATATTTCCTTGCAACATCCTCCTTGAGCTTTCCCTTGGCAACCTTGTTGAACAGTTCACCACCTTTAACATATTCCATGACAAAGTAAATCTTAGATTTGGTGGCCATCACCTCATAAAGTTCCACCACATTCGGATGCCTAATCAGTCTCATGACAGAAATTTCTCGCTTAATCTGGTCCATCATCCCAACCTTCAATACCTTCTCTTTGTCAATCATCTTGATTGCTACACTCATGCCAGTTTTGAGATTCCTTGCATGGTGGACCTTGGCAAAAGTTCCTTGGCCCAACAATCTCCCTATCTCATACTTTTGCATCAGCACATTCCCCTTGTTTTCCATTCCAAGCCACAACCCCTGAACACAACAAAAGGCAACTACACTCAATACTGCAATATATGCTATATGGGTAAAATTATGAGACAGGAGCTCTCAAAAACTTGAAAGCTCAACCATCTTCGCAGACATCGTGCTTTGACATGATATGTGCTCTAGTATTTCTACACATACTGTGCATTTGAGCACAGAGCTGGGATGGTCCTTGAGTTAAATGTTCAGCATCATCAATGATATCCAGGGGCAGCCCAAATGAAGCTACAACCTTGCCAACCTCAACGAAAGAGCTTTCGAGTTTCAAGCACATCTTTCTGCATTCCCTGATTTATTGTGATACACAAGGGAATACTGATCGAGAAGGGATAAAGACTTCTGTAATGATTAGTGAACCTTTCGGCAGGTGAACTATAAGCAAAGCAGAAATTTGCTTGAAAGTCTTCAATCCACCACGAAATGCATGAGATGCTCACCTGAAAGGAAGAGGAAAAAATGTTAATTATAATCAGTAAAAGTTGACATAAGTTATGCCAACACTATACATCAACCAGCAGAACTAAAAATACAAAATTTTGGTAACAAGCCAGACATCTTATAAGGAATTAAAGACAAACAGAATTCTTAAGTGCTTGTCGCTAATTTACCATTAGAAAGGAAATTAAAGACAAACGGAATTCTCAAGTGATTTTAGCTAATTACCATTAATGAGGAAATTAAAGACAAAAGGAATTCTCAAATGACTTTCGCTAATTTACAATTAATAAGGACATTAAAGACAAACAGAATTCTTTAGTTATTTTAGCTAATTTTACCATTACCAAGGAAAGTAAAGAAACCACTATAAATTACATAATTCACAAATATTTGGCAATTCATTATGCAACTTAGCAATCAATAATAAAACGAGACCAGAGAGAGAAATTATAAGGAATACTCAAGTTCTGCCAAAAAAATGCATTAACTTCTGAAACAATACAAGGATAAAACAAATGCTATATACAACTTTCACATCTTCAAATGAAGATGTAAATCTTTAAGTATTTTGACCAACAACAGAATATAGAACATCATAACTGAGTTATAAATCTGAGTTTATTATTATTATTATTATTATTTTCTTTAGAAGCTGAAGCGCCAAACAGCTTCAAATTTTCTATCTTCAGCTTCCAAGGTTAGCAAAAAACTAGAAGACATAACAAGATATAAACTTATAAACACGAGATTATTAAAAGTGAAAAATATTTACGCTTGAAATTAACGATGTAAGAAAAAAATTGTTAAGAAGAGACCAAATGCAACTAAAAGTTAGAAACTAAATAAAAAAACGGAAACCCAATAAAGAAAGAGGAAAAATGAAGTTACCTTGTAAAACAGAAGAGGAGGAGAAGAAATCTGTGAAGAGGAGACAGTCAGGCTCGGGCAGATTGTGTTTTTGCAGAGAGAGAGAGAGAGAGAGAGAGAGGTGTCAAGGAGGACACTTTTAAGAAAGAAAAAGGCTGAAAACCCTGAGGCCTAGCGTTTTGCTTTGCTTTTATAACTGAACGGCCACCAAAGAAGACCTAGAGCCTTCAATTGTATAGTTTTTTTTTTTTTTTTTACTATTATTTATTATGATTTAATTAAATTCTTTAAATGTTTGGTGTACTAAAAATGCCTTCTTTTTTTCTAAATCCTAACAATTAGGACCGGAGTTTGGTGAAAATCTTACAAAACATGCTCTTGTTGGTTTTAGATGCACCGAACCTCCTTCACAAAAAAAAAAAAAAAGAAACATTATAGTTTATTTTAATTCTCTTCCATATATATATATATATATATATACGCGGCAATGTCCTTTAAACCTTATGATAAAAATAAAAATAGCCCACTTATTTTATATTATACCTTTTTTTTCTTTTTCCATTTTTAGAAGATGAGATTGGTAACATGTTAATTCTTAAAAAAATGTTAGTGGAAAAGTTATGCCAACAAATCCAGCTAATGATAATTACATTGTAGTGGATATTCTATCCTTTTTTTTCCCCCTCCAAATAAACTCCTCTTCGTAAACCTTAATTTGGATTGCAGTCGGTTGCTTTTAGCCCACGACAACTCTTTGTTATTTGATTATATATATATATATATATCTTTTTTGCTTATTTTTTATAATCAAGGTCTGATCTTTTCAAATCTGATTAGTAGGTATAATTCTTTTTAAAAAATAAAATTTTATGTTCTCATATCAGGGAGATTAAATTCTTTGAATAAATATTTTAAGATTTTATCTTATTTTTTAAAATGAATTGGCATCAGCAGAGTTTGCTTCAGCATATTTCTCTATTGATCTATGGCTGCAGGAGATTCATGTGCCTGCATAATTTGGATAAAAAAATCCTATTAAAAAAAAAAGATTTTGGAAGTTCAGATATCTGTATTTTTCATCCATAGAACTACATGTTACCTGAAAAACAATGATTCACTAAAGCAGCAAAGCCGTAAAGGTTTGTGTCATATCTTTTTTCTTCTAATGGATGTTAAGAGATTAATTTATTTTGTATCAATTTAATATTAATAAAATTATTGTTTTTATCAACAACAACAAAAAAATCCTAATAATAAATATAGCATTTAACATAATAATTTCATATATATATATATATATATATATAGAATAGTTTTGTAACAAATTAAGTCTAAAAAGCATTTAATGGAAAAGTAATTAGGTCAAAAAATTTACTAATAAAAACACCATTTAACACAATAATTTCATAGATAACTTATATGGTAAATGATAAAATCATTCATAATTTGCTTCATCAGTTCATAAATTTTAATATACGATTTTCTTCATGTATAGAATTTTCTTTAAGTGTAGTAAATAAAATATAAAAAAAATTAAGAAATAAATAAATAAATAATTTGCTAACAAATGCCTTTAAAAAACTTGTTAACAGTTATTTAATATTTTAATTCAATTCTTTTAATTGCTTCAGCGTAATGTCCCCTAGCTCTCAATTATAATTTTGAAAAAAAAAAATAGAAACTGAAACATGATTGGTTCAACGAATTTTAGGTATTTATTAGTCAAATTTGGCCTAATTTCTTCAATTGCCTAATCATTATCATTAATTGCTTACGTAACCGATGCTCTTAAAAGATTGACACTTTCTAAATTTTATATAAAAAAAGAATTACATTATTACTAACTAGTTTTCTGGAGTACCGAAAATTTGTTAGAAAAATCCTATCAACGTCACTGTCTAAAAATTTTGAGGGCCAAATGAATTTAGTCATCTTTTGCTACTTCAAGTTTCGTATTTTGGCTTCACCTTTGCTGATTGCATTCGGCAGCGGGAAGCTTCTTGCATTCATCATACAACGATGGACTGCTCATTAAGCCAATGAGAAGATGCCACGTTCAATAAAAAAATGGAAATAATTGAAAGCTGCGTGTGACCTTCCTCAGGCGTATTCATCTGCGACAGGCGTCAACTGCTTTTATCGAAAAATTTGACAATACTCTAAGAGTGATTAATTTTATATACAGCAGTTATTTTATTAAAGAAGATAGAAGCATAGAATTATATTAGGATGTAATAAAAATGGTAAAAACAATTTTATATTTATTTAACTTTTTTTAATATTTATCTTTCTTTTAAGTGAATTTATGAAATAATTATTATAGATATTATTAGTTATTTTTTGATTATCTTAAAATTTCTCGCTTTCATCGACCATACACGTGTACTCTTCGTTTTCCATGTTGGCTTGCCGCGCAACTCGACCATTTCCTCGTTTACTAGGTGGGGAATTCTTTGTCGGTACCATTAGTCCTTCACTGAATTCTAGATTAATCTTCTTCTTATAAGTTGCAAGGTTGTCATTAAAGAGTGTTTTTAGTGGTTCAAAAATAGTATCTATTCTTAAGAAGAGAAAGAGAAATTCCTATTTTATGGTCATCAAAATGTTCCTGTATGAGATAGAGAGAGAGAGAGAGTCCAAGTATTGGAGGACAGGTCACCTTTCGTTTGCCGAAAAGAAGTACAAAAGAGGCAGTTCGGTGATTAAGTAGAGATTTTTAATTTGGAGTTTTCATCTAAATTCTAAAACAAATTAATAATATTAGTGTAAGAAGTCTTAAAAAATGGCTGCTTCATGTGTAGATAAATTCATAGAATCTCTTACAGCTAAGCATTCTTTAGTAGTTGCGTATTTGACTTTTTTTTTTAATATGAATCAGGTTTGAATTTTAATGATTTTATGCAATAAGAGAAAATTATTTTCATTATGTAGCCTAAAACCCATGAATTTTTCGATGAATTAAAAAAAAAATCATTGAAGTCTAAATAAATAATATACACCATTTAGTATTTGAATACGTGTTTGATAATATGTTTATAAAAATGTTTTTTTTATAACTATTTTGAATGGTCTGATTTAATCAAAATTATTGAAAAATATTTTTGTAAATTGCACCAATAAAGACACTGCCAAACACGTTTTTAAATTCCCGAAGTGAGCAGGATCTTGTAATCAAGTTGGAAAATTCTAAGCTTCTAAGCATTTTTTTTTAATGTGGAGTTGAAATAATTTAGGTGGCCTTTTACTCTATGCAGACGTACACTCTATCCTAACTCTTTCATGATAGATAATTATATACCAACAAGCTACTCACCAAAATACGAAATTTTCCCACCAAAATATATCAACAAGCTGGAGTGTATTTTACGCAGTAAAGCCCAAGTAATTGCTGGAAGACAAATATATAAAAGAAGAAGTTGTGTTCCCCAACCCAAACTTGCACGAAATAATGTTTCTTGTTCATATTCTCAAGCGGCATTAACTATTTTATTGTTCTAATCAGAAGGCCTAATATTATTTGAGAATAGAACCTAAAAGGCAAGAGAATATAGAAAAAAAGAAGCAAGTTCTTAAAGATTTATTGTCTATGGAGGTTACAACAGGAGAAGGGTGACCTAACCAGGGCCATGCCAAAGTTGATCAGGTTGATTAGAATTTTGGATCTGTCTCTTTCCCTAGTTGAGTTTATGGAATTAATAGTTTTTTGGGGAATGCTATGATTAGCACAATTATTCTAGATTATTCTATGGGACCTAATACGATTTTTTTTCTGTCATCATTTTCTAGCGCAAGACATCATCATCCATCATATATATGGAGAAAGAACATGCTCTTATGCGGTTGCAATTGTAAAGTGGAAATTAATGATGAAAATATAATACAGGTTAGGTTGGTACGATGATCTGTTTTTCCATACGGAAACCTTGCAGAAACAAGGTTCTGGTAATCTAATGTTGGCAATAATCATGG